ACACAACATTTCAATATGATCTTTGGTATTGGCAGTGGGCCCCCTTTTTTTTTCTTTTTTTTTTTTTAAAAGAATAATCATAGATGTGCAGGTGGTGTAATGGTTTGTTATTCAGAAGGTGAAATACTGAGCCTGGTTCAAATTCAAGTTCATTACATTCATTTTTGCTCAAATACCTTTGGAAAAGGTATGGATACATTCCTTCTTCATCCATCTCTGGATTAAATAGTAGGACAGACTAGGCTCTTGAGCCTTGGTTGGCAACCATTTTAGAAAGGCAATTCAAACCTCAATTGGGCTAGAAAATCTATCCTGTAAAAACCTACTTGCTACAGGAACCATAACGGCAATGCCTACCGTATTGGGAGCTGTGTCCCTATTACCCTTCTGAAGAAGCCAGGTTAGCAGCAGATTTGGAGGGCTTGGCACTTTCAATGCAGAAAGCTAATTTACTCAGATGAAAGTATTGGAATTTTTAACATCTTTTTGTGGTGAGAAACACTGATTTGGAAATTCAGATTAATTAAACTTTAAATCAACCAATCTTCGTTAAATAAAGTAAGAAATGTATAAAGAGAATTGTTATGTTGAGAGAATCATAAATCTGACTAAAATCAGCCATTTTTAGAAATTAAAAAATAACAAAAAACATTCTAATCAATTTAAATTTATTCTGAAATACAGCAAAGTTTTTTTGCTTATTAGAAAAATTAAATTAAATCTATTAGCTTTAAATTAAAGATAAAACAAAAGCTTCAAGAAAGATTTTTAATTTTTTTTTTTTTTTTTTTTTTTTTTTTTAAGATTAAATTTACACCTTGGGTATCTTATTTCCTTGGTATATATATATATATATATATATATATATATATATATATATATATATATATATATTAATAATCTTATAAGAAATTATACTGTTAGGAAAACCTTTGGTGTCTTGATTTGCAAATAATCAAACCAATACCAAAGGTGGGGGAAAAAAAGGTATAAAAAGAAAGAGCCAAGTACATGCATGTTAGCCAAAATTAATCATCTAGCATGCAGGTCCAAAGCAAAAAAAAAAAAACTCAATATGAGCCAGCCTTCCCTGACGATCCACTTAGGTTAAACCTTGGTAGGTTTTTCTGGCTCTCTAGGTTTAATTATATATATATATATATATATATATATATATATATATATATATATATATATATATATTTATTTAAAATATGATTCCAAATCGCTACATAAGAGGTCTCATGTTTCAAAACAAGAGCCGAAAACTTCAATATAATCCTTTAAATTAAATTGAGTTTAAATTAAAATGGGCTCCGTTCCATCTTTGCCGAAATTTTTGTTGGAATAACGTATATCTGAAATTTACTTGTTTTAAAAATTGAAATCAAAATCTCCATGGTAACAGCTAGGGCGAATTGTTTAAATTGGGTAGGCGAGTGTAGGGTGTTAATATTAACGATTTGGAATCATATTTTTAAATAAATAATTATATTTATGCTCTACTTTTGTATCGAGCACTATTTTTTAAAAATAATAACAAAATACTAAAGAACTTTGGATTATTTACCTAACGAGTTCTTTCCTATTTTCTATATATTTTTTTCTTTACACACACACATATATATATATTATATATATATGATAAGACGGAGACCTTAATTATCCATTCCGATTGTAATTTATTTCGTAAACATCGAGGTGTTGAACTCTTCAGATCAAAATTTAGACACCCCTACCTTACCCTGACTTGACATCTATGAATGTAACTCTATACTGATACAAATTATTAACACCCAACACCCCTTCCTATTTAAACAATCGCACTGGCTGTTACCATCGAAATTTTGATTTCAATTATGAATATGCTATTAAAACACGTAAATTTCAGAAATACGTTATTCCAAAAAAATTTCACTTGAAGATGAAACAGAGCTTACTTTAATTCAATTTAATTCAAATAATTATATTGAAGTTTTCGGGTCTTGTTTTGAAACATGAGAACTCTTATGTAGCATGTTGGAATCATATTTTTAAATAAATAATTATATTTATGCTCTACCTTTGTATCGAGCACTATTTTTTTAAAATAATAACTAAAATACTAAGGGACTTTGGATTATTTACCTAACCAGTTCCTTCCTATTTTCTATATATTTCATATATATATATATATATATATATATATGCAGTAAAAATTTCAGATTAAAAATAAAACAATTCTTAATTGTGTTTTGGGGCAGCAATCCCTCTTTTATACAAGTTTCATTGAAGACGATTAATTTTTCTTCTGTTCATATAAATGTTTTCTTTTCTGAGCATAAAGTGCATAAAAACTGTACAGATGTATTATATATATCTTAATCTTGTCCCGTATGGAATTGTTACTGATCAAACCAAATTAATGAATAATTAGATTCGACATACCACATTTTGTCATCCACTTGTTTAATCCCGCGAGGTATGTCATGTGTTGTTTTCCCTTGTCTCTCTTTCCCTCTATTTGACCTGTGAGTATCAGATTCTCCAGGCCCTCCTTCCTCATTATGTGTCCCAGAAACTTTTCCTTATGTTAAGTATAAGCCTCCTCCTTGTTTGCATCCTCTGTAAGACCTCATTGTTACTCACACTCTTGGTCCATGATATCCTTAGCCACCTTCTGTAGGAACATATCTCCGTCACCTCCAGTCTCTTCTTCATCTTTGAGGAAATTGCCCAACATTTGCAGCCATAAAGGACAGATGTCACGTAACAGCTCAGTATTTTCTTTGTTACCAAAGAAATCTTCCTGGCTCACAATACTCTGCCCAGCTTTTGGAATGTGTCCTTGGCCTTCCCAATATGTCTACGAAACTCAGTGTTGCAGTTACCATCCTTAATTGTATTGATATGAGTCTGTCCTCAGATTGACACCTAAACACTCTGAAATGTTTGTATTGGAGCTTCTGGCATGAATGCCAGGCAGTATAGCATGCCATTTCCAAATTTCTGGTTCAGTCAATTGCATCATGGTGCTCTTTTTCTCACAGATGATGCCCAACTGACCTTGCTGTACTGCGCAGCCAACAAAAGCAAACGATGCGCAAAATTAAAAATATAAACTGGTGACAATTGCTCTTCTCCCCCTTTATAAGTGTATGAAAATTAAGTTGACACTGTGAGGTTGAGGGTCGGCACTGTGAGGTGCGCTTTGTTGAGGGTCGGCACTGTGAGGTGCGCTTTGTTGAGGGTCGGCACTGTGAGGTGCGCTTTGTTGAGAGTCGGCACTGTGAGATGTTTGGATAAGACTAGGCAATGAGCACCTTAATTTACTGCTTAGGTAGGGGTTTGCCTTTTGTATTTTTCTTGCTTTTGTTTGGCTCTAGGTCATCTGGCAGATTTTTGTTGTGTGTGTGTGTATATATATATATATATATATATATATATATATATATATATATATATATATATATATAATAATGCATGTGAAAGTGGTGAGAACATTTGCTTTCTGACCATTAGACCCAGGTTCGAATTTCACCATAGTTAATTTGTCAGCAAGGAGATATTATCGGTTTGGAGTGGGGATGATCCCAGTATATGGCACCTTTGGAAAGTGCCTGAAAACCATACCACAGGTTAACCCAAGCCTTGTGTGTGAAATTGGGTAGACAAAACACTTGTGGCCATTGATAGCTGTGCTAGCATGAAGTCACAACTCATCGTGATGGAGGCTTTGAGTGTGCTGAATTTGTTCAGATTGTTGATTATTCTAGATAACGTGCTCTCTCCCAGAAACTGTAATGAAGGTCATCTCAGTATAGTTGAAGTATAAACCATAGGTTGGCTCTGTGGGTGTTGAACACAAATGTGCCTGAGCGAGAGCCTGCAGTAGGGATTGGCTATCCGCCCTAGTAGACAGGTATCCTTGAATACGAGTGGCCAGCTATCATTATATAGCATGATTTATTCCATTGGGTACTCCGGTATTATCCACAATCTATAAATCTATAACTCAACTGGTTTACATTAATCTTAATGGCTTAAGTTTAAATCCCCTCATCACTTATTAATATTATTAATAATATTGGACATCTGTAGTAAAATACTATTTACTGTGAATCCCAGAAAAAGACACTTCGAGGATTTTTATAAGAAATACCACATAGTAGGAACTGATATTAAACTACAAACAATCCTGGCCATAAATAATCTCCAACCCCAGACTGCTTCCCCTGGGATAAGATACCTTACACCCCCACCAATCGCTAACACAAACCCATTAACAAAGTGTCTACAAGAGGAGGACTGTCATTGAAAATAAATTTAAAACAATTCTCCGAGACAGACACTTAGAGACTGATGATAGTCTATTTCAAGCCGTTTTCTATATGGCTATCTCTTTGTTGAGGTAATTTTTGTTTTTTGCTGTAAATATATATATATATATATATATATATATATATATATATATATTTAAAAGTGAACATTGAAGTCAACACTTAGAGGCGGCAGTCTGTTTCATGCTAGATGCAATCGTTAGGCCTTTTATATTTACACACGCTCTATCTCTGATATTGAGCACTTTATCCCATAAATATAGCACACCTAAGACTATATTTCTTATATATATATATGCTGAAGTACAAAATTTAATTCAAGCAATGAAAAAGACATTATCTAAAGTGGCAAAACAGTTAACTGCCCGTTTTTGTTAATCATGTATTAAGTTTTTATAACTTCTTTATGGTAATGTTATTTTTTTTTATCCACCCCTTCCCAACTTTATTTTTATTTTAACAGTCAACAAAATCAAAAGCAAACAATGTGCATGTACAAAATTAAAAATAATAAATGGCGACCTATCGCGCCCTGTATTGTAAATGAATGCAAAAAGAAATAATTTACGGCAATCATTCTTTAAAATTGTTATTGGAACATAATATACATTTTACTTTCAAGGATATCTTATTTTTCCTATATATTTATTCTTTTTAATTTTTTTTTTTCTTTAACTATAGGTGCTAGTGGTGACAGCATTGACCTTCTCCCCTCACCCAGTGTGGCCTCTTGGACTTCCAGTCTTCCTACTGACGATGGTAATGAAAGTGACCAGATCTTTGCTTTTGACGGCCAGACAAATGCAGTGGAAGTTCCCGAAGGTCACTTCAATCACACACTTACTAATCATTTTACCATTTCCACTTGGATGAAACATGAGCGTCACCCGAAAAAGGATAATAGCGAAGCCCCTTCAAAGTCACACAAAGCCCCAAAAGAACACATTCTTTGTATGTCTGATGGAGACCGTAAGTATTTGCTTCTTTATTTTTATAAGGAGATATTCCTATATACCAAAATAAAAAGATCTCAACACCTTTTTAAGAGTACAAAAAAATGTCTCTTCGGATGAAATTGAAACAAACAGAAAGAAAGTATTTATCCATGATATTTTTATATATAAAAGATGATGGGTTTTAAGGGGTTGCTCAAAATATATTGAGAGCCTAAATAAATTAAGAGAAAAATATGTTCATAAGATTGTTAGGACTTTTCTTAGTAGCAGAAGTTTTAAAAAGCCTTAGTTTTGAGCAGTGGTTCACAGACATTTTTCTCTGGGCCGCATATTTGGAATTAGAATTTGCTCGCGCATTGGCAAATCTTATATGATAAAAAGTACATTTCAAAATAAAAAAAAAAAAACAGAAATATCCAGATTTGAAAGAACATTAATTGATACTCTCTTCTCCAGATTTACTATATTCTTAAGAACTTATTATCATTGTGTGTGTGTCTGTTCTCTTCTCCAATTTCCTGGATTTCCAACAAAAGTTACTATAAAATACCTTGGGGTGGTTTGACAGTGCCAAAATCAATTGTTTTTATGAAATCAATTTGAAAACCAAGGTTGAATGAGAGGGGTGTGTGTGTCTGTTGTGTTTTATTTATATTGGATCGGATTTTTCCTGCATTTTTTTCAACTGGTTCTTTCAAAATTGAAAAAAAACTTCACGATTAAGAGGATCACAAGAATGAAAGGGGGGGACAAAATCGAGTTTTTAAAACCCAGGTTGTTTGTGTGTGCGGTGGATTTCCTACATTTTCAATTTGATTGTCTTGCACACTTTTTTTTCTTTATTTTTTACAGTGCTTTAAAAATAAAAATTCTATTCAAAAAATTGAAAACAATGTTTTTGTTTTTTGACAAATTGTATAAAAAAAAAAAGAAAAAATCAATTTCAAAAACAATAATCTTTGTCAATTTTATTTTTCAGTCTTTATGATGGTCACAAGTTAATGGCAACGCCCGGGACTGGGGGACAACTCATATCATTGAGATTATACTTATTAGAAAATCAAGGTTGTGTGTGTGTGTTTTCATTTTATATGGGATTTTTCAACTGATTTTCACAGGACTACATTAAAATTTTCGGGTGGTTCTGACAGTGCCAAAATTGGAAAAAACAATTTTTTTGCACGAAATCAATTTATTGCTTTTTTTTTTTTTGGACAGGTGTGTGTTTTCATTTATATTGGGATCGGATTTCATTTTTCAACCGATTTCAACAAAACACTTTTTTTTTTTTTTTTTTTTTTTTTATTTTTACATTCACTTTTTTTCTTTATTTTACATTCAGAATGCTTTAAAAATGCCATTTACAAGACAATTGTTTATAATAAAATTCTATTCAATTGGTAGATTCATAACAATTGAAAACCATGTTTTTATTTGAGTTTTGGTTTGACCAATTCGTAAAAAAAAAAAAAAAAAAACTAATTAAGACATGCTTGTCCGTCAACCTTAAACAAAAATCTTTGTCAATTTTATTTTTCAGTCTTTATGATGGTCGATACTTGATCTATCTCTTACTGTTACATCCCCGGGCAACGCCGGGTTCTACTGCTAGTACTTGATATAATGCAAAAAAATATCACAATGATAAAATCGGTCAATAATTATTTATAACTATTTACACTGGGACTCTTGCATGCAATTACAAGTAATCCATAATAATATTTTAAATTTTGAAATCATATTTATTTTTAGCATATGAATTTTTTGAAACTGTTTCTAAATCTTTGATTGTCTTTTCAATCATTCTGCCTCACCTGTTATCCACTGGTATAATTAATTAAATCCTATGGGAATCCAATTCAAAGTGCTAACATTTTCTTTGTACAGCTGTAAAATAACTGTAAAATATTGCTTCATTTTATTTTTATAAGTATCAAACTGACTTTAAGGAAAGATATTATTTTATTTTGAAATATTTCCTTTTCAAAATACTAGTAAAGTTTTTTTTTTAATGCCATATGCCTTTAAGGCGTCGGTGATCATGGCTCCTCACAGATTCATAAACTATTGGGAAAGATAGCAGCATACAATCTAATCATAACTTCTTGGGAAAGATAGTGGCATGCAATCTAATCATGGCCTTCAAAAGAAGGTCACAGAATCTAGTGTCCTCTTCTTGCAACTCCCTGCAAAGATTGTTTTTTTTTTTTTTTTTTTTGCAGACTTTTCTCCACAAAGCAGATTTCATGTGCACATCTAAAGTCTATCTATGATGCCACTAGATTATTATATATATATATATATATATATATATATATATATATATCATTTTAAAATCTATTTTAAAATCCACTTTTCTTTTTACTTTTTTTTTTTTTTTTCATTTCATCCCAAGAAAAGCAATAAAGCCACTAAGACACAAGGGGTTACTAAGTGTCAGAGAATATAAGAAAAAAAACATTAAGGGGGAAAGGACTGTAAAAGAACAGGTATTAAGAAGGCAGAAGATAACAATTGACATTGCCTTTAAATTTTTGAAGGTCAAAAGTGACTGGAAAGCAAAAAATCAGAATAGATTTCCACAAGTGAGAAGTGTGAGAGAAGAAACTGTTATCATGGTTGCATCTAGCCATTTCAACTGTAAAATGATGAGACCTAGCTGCCAATCTAGTACTGTGCTTAAATTCATAAAGTCTAGGTACTATAGAAGATAGCTCATCACAATAATTACCATTGCATTCTAGCAAACCACCTACATTCCCCTTGTATTCCATCGACAAGAAATAAGTTCCACTTAAACAGCTTATTCTCATGAACCACTGCTCCATGAAACAGACTCCCAAGGGGATGTTTCCCCAATAACTACAATTTTAACCTGTTCAAGTTTAGAGTTAACCGTTATCTTTCCCTCCTCCTCCTATCCATATAAACTACTCCTTAACGTAACCCTCTACCTCGAGTGGCTCTCGCGCCTTGTACAGGGGTGAACCTTACTGTAAAAAAAAAAAAGCCCCAAAGAAGGAAACCTGCATCAATCAGAAGTAAGTTCCATGCAAACAGCTTCTTCCTGTGGACCACTGTTCTGTGGAACAGACTCCCAAGAGGATGTTTCCCTGATCACTACAATCTTAACCAGTTCAAGTCTAGAGTTAACCATTATCTTCCACTCCTATCCATATAAACTATCCCTTAATATAACCCTCTACATTGAGTAGCCTCTGAGCCTTATACAGGAATGAACATTACTGCAAAAACAAACAAAAAAACCCAAAAGTAATGGTTCTTGAACAAATATTTTTTTCTTCTTCAAGACAAGCAGGTCAGCATCTGAATTCCTGGGTTCCGCCAGGTCTAACCGTCATGGCTAGGACTGGCCATGCCACTTACATAGTAGCAAACCACCCACATTTCCTCCATATTCCATCGCTGAGATAGCTTCTTCCTGCAAACCACAGCCCTGTGGAACAGACACCCAAGAGGACGTTTCTCTGATTACTACAATCTTAACCTGTTCAAGTCTAGAGTTAACAGTTATCTTCCACTCCTATCCATATAAACTACCACTTGATATAACCTTCTACTGTGAGTGGCTCTCATGGCATTGTACAGGGTGAACCTTACTGTAAAAAACAAAAAAAAAAAATCCCATTGATCTATCCAAAGAATTCATGGCAATTTATGCATATTAAAGAAAAGAAAACCGTGGAGAGCTTTGATCACTTACATCCTGAAGGGACATGGCATTATAAAAAATATTTAAATGTTTATGGTTTAAATATTTATGCTGTAAGAAAATTTTTTTTTTTTTTTTTTTTTTTTTTTTTTTTTCCAGATTTGAACCGACATCATTATGGATTATTTGTTCATGGCGAGAAATTGATTTTCCTGTTGCGCCGTGAGGCTGAGAATAGTGAAAATATGGAAGCATTCCGACCAGCAGAATGGAGATGGCATCTGCCGCAGATTAATGATGGAAAATGGCACCATTATGCCATCAGCGCTGATTACTCGGAGGTTAGTTTCTCTTTGCACTCTTTCGGAATTTCATGACTTTTTTGATTGATATGCCGTTAAACAAATGGCATATCAACTCCTTATGGATCCTTTAATACTAAAATTTAATTTTAATGGGAGTTTTGAAGTGATAAGATATTCTGCTTTCACAATTGAATACATGGTAGATAATACTCAGCTTTTGTGCATATACATATTTGTGTGGACATAATTACTAGAGGCAATGTTATGTGTATTTTATATTGTAGTTTTGTTGAAAGTTATATTTGGGAATACAGTTTGATTTCTTTCAGAAATATTGTAGAATATTAAAGATTAATGTCATGAAAGAGTTCTTTTATGTTAATTGTTTGCTAGTATTTCAAACAGATTTGAGTGAAGTCGCTACAATTTGTTCATATGTACGTAGTGTTGGTAACTTTTTTTTTTTTTTTTTAAAAATTTATTGCTAGTATTTTCACAATAAAAATGTATTTTTCACCCTAGTCAGGGTATAATTTGTTAGTTTGTCTTACTTTGGAATTATCTGTCCATATTTCTAAGAAGAGGTATTATGGACATTATTTACATTATTGTCCTCATCTTTGTCACCATATTTATTACAACATTTCGGCTGTTGTACACTCCGGCCTTTTTCAGGTGGTTAGAATGTCGAACTGAACCCTTTATTTCGGTCACTGGGGTAGACTATTCTAGTTCCACGTGCCGTTTAATGAATGTCAGTTATCAGTTATCTCCTGTTAATTTTCTCTCTGAAAGTTCTCCACTGCCTTAACCAGGTATTGAACTCACACTCTGTCCTATCACTAGATCTAACCATGTGTGCCATGTGTCCTTGAGGACATCTGTTTATGAATTTCTGGGTATTATAAACCTAATGTCTTCAGCAACCATTTTTACTAGTGCTCATATTGCAATTTTTGCTGTTATCATTTCAGATTTTTACCAGAGCTCATATTGCAACTTTGTTGTTATTATTGCTTTTCTCTGGCACTCCTTATTACTGGTTCCCATATTGTATTTATTTCTCTGAGTTGCTTCCTTGTAGATAAATGACCCATTGATCGGAAAATCTTCATATGTTTGAAACTCTGCCCACTTTGTGGAAATAATCAAAGATGCTCCCATCCTATCCAACCAGATGGTGAGCTTGGACGTGGTGAGTTTGTTCACCAAGGTACCCACAAAGGAGGCACTCTCAGTCGTCGGAGACAGATTGGCCTCTGACTCATCCCTAGAAGAACGGACCAATATATGATAAACAATATATGATGAAGCGCACTGGATCAATCAATATTTTTTCTTTTTTGTGCTTTTCATATCCACTGAGAAATATGGGAATAACCAGTTCTTATATTCTGTTTTGAATTTGTTACTTTTCAATTTCACTAATGCTTTCTGTTTTTTGTCTTGCCAGGTGCACCTCTACATTGATGGCAAAGTTGTCGTACCTTCTAGCCATGACTTAGAAGTTGTTGATGATTGGCCTCTTCACCAGTCCAAAAAGGTTTTGTTCACAGAATTGGTAATTGGAGCCTGTTGGCAAGGTGGGGGATGGCATGGTCATTTCTCTAGAATTTACAGATTTTTGAATTGAGTTTGTTCTATCAGATCATTGTAAAAGTGTCTGATGAGAAAATTAAAAACAAAAATTTTACATACTCACAAAAAAAAATCATTTATTAGTCAAATACAGAATCTCCATTGGTTTTAATCGTTATCACTCTTTATTACTAATATTACTTCCCTTTCCACTGCATTGTTTTTCAAGGCCCTGCAATTGCAGTAGCTTTATTGTTAATTTCACTTGCCCAAGAAGCACCATTTCTACTGTGGCTGCATTACACATGGTGCCCCTATGAATAAAAAAATAAAAAAAAATAAAATTTTTAAAGAATATTGTTATTGACAAAGAAAAAATAACTATTCTAGTTTATTTAACCTTTAACACTCTGCATTATTAGTAGTCCCTTTCTACGTCATTCTTTTTCAAGGGCTCTAAATTGCAGTATTCTTATTGTTAATTTCACTCGGTTGTTTTCTGTTGCCATAGCAGGATATGACAACACAACTACAATATATATATATATATATATATATATATATATAATGAGCAGTTTTTTCACAGCCTGTTTTCTGGAGCTTATGTAAATATAAAAAAGGGAACACTAATGCCTCAGTAAAGTGACGAGTGGCAAAAGTCTGTTTTGCCCACATAGCCTGAAGATTGCATTCAAGCATGGAACAGACAATCGCCACTCGATGTTGACCCCAGTGTCCATTTTATAACTTTTTTTTTTTTTTTTTAATCAGCTTGTCCCAGGTGCAATCTAATTTTTCTGATTATGTCTGTAAAATTTGAAATCTTTATGCAAATAAGTTAAATTGAAGTTACGTTTTTTTTTTTTTTTTTTTTTTTTTTTCCAGGTAATACCAAGAAATTTGACCACTTTTTCCGTGGTTATTTGGCTGGATTGTCTGTTCTGAGAGACAAAACTGAAAGTGACCGGGTTATCAAGTGTTTAGTGAATTGTAAGGAATACCTCGATTTTCATGCCCTCAACAAGATGGAAAGTGGAACTGTGAGTATTGGTCTGAAATAACCCTTCTGCTGCCTTCGCCTTTAGGAAACAAGTGATTATGGTTCTCCACAGCTTCCTTTTGTTGGTTTCTGCAATATTTGCTCCTTTACAATCCCTCTTTGTGTTTTTAGTACATGTTCCTATATTCATCTGCTCAAACTTATCAAGTTGGTTATTACAGCATTCTTTAGCTTCTAATGCCATTGATACATGTGAGGATTAAATTCTCCAAGCCTTCTTTCCTCACTATGTGTCCCCAAGATTTTAGCCGTGTCATTTTGATTATTAGCCATAGTTTATTTGTGGAAAGCCACTGTCTTCATTCATTTCTGTAATAAAATAGTTACCGTATTGAGGAAACCTGTGAATGACATGTAAATTTTAAGGAAGACAGGGACTTCAAGGAAACTGATGCTACCAATCAGAAGAGACAGTTGAAGTTTCTGAGGAAATTAATGAGGATAGAGGGCCTGGAGAATATAACACTCACTAGACAATATACTGAAAGCAAGAAAAACTGATGAAATAGCAAGTAACCTACTTAGAGAGTTTGAGCAAATGGATGGCAGAACAAGGACAAAAAGACAAAAGTTCCTTCTTTTTTTTCTACAATGATGTTCACCCTGTACAAGGCACAAGAGCCACTTGAGGTAGAGGGTTACAGAGTAAGAAGCACAATTTATGGGGATATGTAAAGAAGGGTAACAGCTAACAAGTTAAGATTGTAGTGACTTAAGATGTCGGTTCCACAAAGCAGTGGTTCGTAGGAAGAATGTGTTCGAGTGGATTTAGAATAAAAACAAGACAGGAAGTTGTGGAGAGCCACGATTGCTTACATTCTGAAAGGATGTAGCATATTGAAAAAAAAATGGATGCTTGTATGGTGTTGTTATGAAAACTTAAAATAATTATAATTGTTTAATTCTAAATAATTATTTCTCTTTTTTTTAATTGTATTTTATTCTTTCTCTTTTTAAAATACAGAGCGTGAGTTTTAACAGTGAAATGACAGAATTTAGCATTACTGGCAGGAATGTTACAGAGGTCGAAAATTTGGTTAGAGAAGTTTCATATGTCAATGCAAGACATTATCCGACGCCAGGCCGAAGAGCTCTGAAAATAGAAACCGCTGTTGAGTAAGTATACAAAAATACACACACACACACACACACACACACACACACACACACACATATGAGGCAAACAGAAGGGGCTCCAGACCATATATGGCAGCATTATATAAAATTTTCCAAGAGGATAGAATCCAGGTAGAACTCAATGTCCAGGACAGAGTAAGAATATACATACACTCTCATTAAATTTTATTTTTTTATTCCCAGAGTTATTTTTTCTGATTTCTTTTTGAATTTGTAGGTCTGATGAATTGGACCATAATTATGATTCCAATGTAATAAATTATAACCATGGAATATTAGTTTTTAAGCCTTTTTAGTGTATATATATATATATATATATATATATATATATATATATATATATATATAGAAGCTGCCTTTTGGGTGAACTTTAGGCTAGCCCCTGCAGAGGTCTTTTTGGGCCTTGAGCCTTTTACCTTCAGCATCCTATGTATGTAAAAGTTATAAGAATTTAGAAATAACAAAATTATTTTATCTTTATTTGACACCTTAATTTGGCATAATCTTTGTATATGCAACCAATCTCTGTAGTTTGTTTACATTTATTTTGCGTGCAATTTTTGTTTTCTTTTAAAATCACCATTCTTTATGATCCCTTCACATAAAGTCTTTCTTAAAAGACATTAGGGAACCCGAACTACGTCACAGTAAGCTTGGTAGAAAAAGAAAAAAAAAAAAACCAGGCCCTGCTTAAGTTTTAATTTTGGTCTAATTAGATGATATCAATTGCAATTGTGACATTGTCCTGGGTATGATGATAAACTACGTCCGTCCTGGGTAAGACGATAAACTACATCCAGCAGCAAGACATCTGATCAGGAGATTTTGAGGAGCATGGAACAACCTCTTAATTGCTGGTGTTCCCAGGTCCACCCTGACGTGGGGGTGGGGGGTAGCACCTATTAGGGGCCCAGCTATGGGCAAATTGTTAACCCCCAAACTGGAGTTAAAACACTATGAGAGTGTAAAAATAGGTTTTAATACGAGCAATACATTTTTGTAAAATTATTACCAGCAATACATTTCGGAAATAAAAACATTACATGCAATACATTTTTCAAAAAAAAATATTACTAGCAATAAAAATGTTGTCGGCATTAAATGACCCATTGAAGTTGATATGTCGTAAAACAAAACAAACCAAATTGTCAGGGTCACAGCGATAAGCAAATTGTACCCCACAAGGGGTCAAAACACTGAAAGTATAAAAATACATTTTAATACCAGCAATACATTTTTGGAAAAACAAAAAAATTATTACCTGCAATAAAAATGTTGGCATTAAATAACCCATTGGAGTTGATATGCTGTAAATCAAAACCAACCAAACCAGTGATTGCGATGAAAAGTGAAATTAAAGTTAAACCTTTAGTACATGTGATAAATTCATTACAATTAAATATATCCTCTTGGAATGTGAAAGGTTGTCACACGTCAGAAGGAGGTGTTATCAATCAGGGAACCTGGCTGAACTCTCTCCGCAGCCAACAAACAACATTAGGGAATTCCTGTGGAAGACAAATATATACTATAAAATATAAAGGAAATTTAAAAAAATGTTAAACGTTTTATACAAGTATTTCTACATATATTTATATATCTAAATTTTAATCTTTTTAACTGTGTACAAAGGGAAAAAAGTGCTACCTATTGGCTTTGTTTTCAAAAATATATATATATATATATATATATATATATGAAAGAAAAATACAGAAAAAAACAAAAATCTGAATATGCAATTATGTAGTATTAATGTTAAAATAAAGTCGACGTCGGACGTTTCGGTCTATTTAAGACCATCTTCATGGACATTTTCATTTAAACATAATTAACATTAGAACTTATAAAAATTTAACACAAAAGACGATGGACATAAAAGCCCAACTGATCCAAACAGATAACTGATGAATAATAGAATCTATTGATTATTATTATATATTTATAGTTAAATCTTTTACCGTGTACATACACTAAATTCTTGAAATCATTTTAACATTTAAAAACTCTGCTACCTAATTTACATTATTTTCAAATCTATGTATAAACAGTACTTGGCTTTAAATGACCCAAAAGAGTTGATAGGCCATAAAGCATAAGCAAACAAACACTTTCCATAATCCATTCCAGAAATAATCAATTCCAAAATTTTGTTTAATGAGATTGACTTTCACTAATATTCCCATCATCCACAATTTAAAGATGAACCTCTATGTGTAATGGTTTGTTATAAATTCATTTCAGATACCAAGGCCCAGATGGTAGCAGCAGTCGTTTGCCTGGTATTGACCCAATTGATATTGATGTGATGGTCATGCAACCAGCACGACCTGTGATTACGATTAGTGGCCTCTCCAACATGACCCTGACACCTGCTAAACTTAGAACTGGGTACCTGATTTTCAAAGACATTGAGATCAGCATCAAACAGGAAGATGATGATGATTATATTGAGGATGATGATGACGACGACGATGATGATGATGATGATGACTCTGATAATGGTGATAGTGCCAACAAAGTTATTCACCAACATAGTAAGTATTCAGTAAAACTTGCACATCTCACATTTTTTTTTTTTTAAATTTTTTTAAGCAGTTCACCCCAAGCAAGAGGTGAGTGCCACTAACACACAAGGGGTTACAGAGAGTAAGAGTAAAGAGGAGTGTTTGGGGAAAGGATAAAGAGAAGAACAGGGATCAAAATCAAGGCGTCAGAAGATGTCGATTGACATTACATTTGAATATTTGAAGATTATAGCTATCAGGGAAGCAAGTGATAGGAAGTTCCATTGATAGGAGGTGCAAGATAAGAAGCTGTTGGAGTAGAAGAGACAGCTACATTTAGTCATTTCGACAGTGAAAGAGTGGGACTGAGATGCCAACCTAGCAGCGCATTTAAATTCATGCAATTTGGGAACCAGTGAAAGTAGCTTGTCAGAGCAGTTGGCATGAAAGTATTTGTAGAAAAGGGAGAGGGAAGCCACAGCATGTCTTTGAGATAGCAACTGAATTGAAGGTAAATAGTTTTAAGGCCATGTTTCTTCAGGCTCTCCATAGGTTAATTTTCTTTCCTTTCTGTGAGTTGATATATTCTTGGGATAAAATAATGAATAGTTTACTGTTGCTTTCTCTATTGTTTAGTATTCAGTTTTCCTTCAATTTGACTGGTTGTCAGCCAAGACTAGAAAGTTCAAACTCCTCTACTAATTAATCCTGAGCTGATGGGAGACCATACTCCTCAGAGGATCTATGCAACTTGAGATCTGTGGCCTCATACTCCTCAGAGAATCTATGCAACTTGAGATCTGTGGCCTCAGAGAATCTATGCAACTTGAGATCTGTGGCCTCAGAGAATCTATGCAACTTGAGATCTGTGGCCTCAGAGAATCTATGCAACTTGAGATCTGTGGCCTCAGAGGATCTATGCAACTTGAGAGCTGTGAACACATACTCCTACTTGTCAAATGCTCGCAAGAGATAGTCCCTGCTCGCGAAATGCTCGCAAGAAATAGTCCCTGCTCACGAAATGCTTCCTGAAAGAAAACTCGGCTAAAACCTGAATTTAATTTCAGTCCCCGTTTCTTGCAAGCATTTTAAAGTTCTTTTGTTGACAGTTTCAGTTCAGTAAATATTTGTGAAATGTGAGTAGTATCATCAGCATATTTATACCAGTTGAAAGGTTCTCATCAAGGGGCAGGTTTGATTGGATACGGTCTAAATAATATCTATATACCGAAAATACCACATCCGCAAGTATAATAAAAGAAAGCATTGATAATAAAACGTAAATGAAATGGAAATAAGAAGAACCAAGGGAAATAACTCTGCCTACGCAATAATTAATGAGAAAGAAATATAGCCATAGACACTAATAGCTATCAAATTGAAAATGCAGAATCAAACAAATTAAATAAAAAAAATTAGGTTACAAAGAAAAGATGAACTTGTAAAGTGGAAAAGAAGCTACAAGAAAATAGATTGAATAATTTGACTCGTTTTTTAATGGCTTATCAACACTTTGTGTGTTATTAAAAAGTAGCAAAACATTTTGCATTGTAAGAACAATTCTTTCTTATAAGCAAATATTGCATTAACATTTTATTTTTTATATTTTTTTTTTGAGATAATTTTTTCAGATACAAGTCCTACTATTTAATCCATATCTGGGGAAGGGAAGATGTTTCATACCTTTCTGAAGGATGTTTGCGCATAAGTGGATGTTACGTACTTGACGGATTTGAACTCAACTCTCCGATTTCTCATTCCAAGCCACTATCCATTACACTATCTGCACATCATTCATATATATATATATATATATATATGTGAATGATGTGCAGATATATATATATATATATATATATATATATATATATATTAAATTTAAAATTATTGATAATCCATATGGAATTTCCAAGAGGATATAGATCTGTTGAGAGCTCTGTCAAAAGACAGAGCAAAAATTATTATATAATGACGAACACTTAAAAAACGATAGGTGATATTTTATTTCATTGAAGCCAATAAAACATGGCTTCAAATCCTCAAACCTGTAAACCAAATGAAGATGAAAAAATTAACTTTAGATTTAAAAATTAAGAATAGTGATTTCATATAGGGAGTAGGGGAAAGAAAGACATTAAGTTATCATTGTGTAGGCAGGAGGGAAAAAAAAACATGGTCTCAGTTGTATTAACACCGATGATGACCTGAAATGACATCTGGATTGTAGACAAAAATCGTTACATTAAATTGGCAATTGAGAATACATTTGAAAAAAAATTTTAAGTGTAAATTCGAAAATCTGTCTGGCTCCTTCCTCAGTTAAGATTTTGACACATAGTGCAAATTATAAGTTGAATACCTATCACCTGTGATAATTGATACAAAAAATACATTGGAAAAACCTCAAGAAATTTAAACAAAATATTATATGAACAGAATAGGGACATTTTACAAAACAATACATGAAATGAATTAGTTGCTCACTGTAACGAGACTGACCACAATTTTGACATAAAAACTGCTACTCTGATCAAATGAGAAAATAATTCACTAAGATAAAAATGTTTAGAGAGTGTCTTGATCACAAGATCATCCACAGTAAATTTGCATCCTGGCTCTTACAACATTTTACCATTCCTGGCTGATCTTTTATTATCACAGTGTGTGATATCTAAAAGTGATGGAAACAAAAAGAAAAAGAATCTAAATGAAATCAGCTAGATTATATACCTTCCTCCAAAATGAAAAATTCCCAGCATCCTTCATTTATGTGCATGTATGTTCACACCAACGAAACACATATACTCTGAAATCCTAAAGGATGAAACATGTCAAATAAAAACTATTTCCCACTTTGTCATACATTTTTCCCCAATATTGCTCTTGATATATAAAAATATATATCATTATCTCACATAGAAAGTGTCTTTTGTCAGAAAAGATTCTCTCAAACATATTGTGTTAAATAATATAAACAACTGTTTTCAATTGTTTTTAAAAAATCTTGAAATTACAAATAAGTTGTTTTTTATCAGTAGATTTGTCAAAATTCATATTAATTTTTTTTCTTATATTATTACATGGTTGGCAGAACAGGGTTTAGGAGAGATAGCAAAATGACAAAAGTTATTAAGAGCTACAAAGTACAGGAAGTTGTGGAGAGCCATGATTGCCAATGCCCTGAAAGGCCATGGCACTAGAAGAATAAAAACAGGAAGAAGCTTGTGTAAATAGTTGTCAGAACAAGGTTTGGGAGAAATGGTAAAAAGACAAAAGCTATTAAGAACTACAAAGGAGAGGAAATTGTGGAGAGCCATGATCGCCATCATCCTGAAGAGACACAGAGAGCCATGACTGCCAAAGTCTTGAAAGGACCTGGCACATAGATTTTCATTTTTGGAACATACATAGTTATATTATTTAATATATTTTATTGTTATACATTATTTATATAGACACAAATATTTAATTAAATACTCTGTTTATAATAAACAGTATTAACAACATTTACCGGCCTGAATATAGTCTGACGTGATATACCAGTTTAGCTACAAAGGCTGCATCTGGTTAGCAAGGTTGATTTTACTGCTTTTTAAATTACAAATTTCCTATGATTTCCCTTGAACATTCATGTCAGCTCGAAGCGTATCTTAATGTAAATAAATGATGTTATATATTATGAAATGGACAAAGTCCAACAATTATTTTAATATATTTTATTGTTATGCATTATAGATACAAATATTTAAGAAAATGCTCTATTTACCAGCTTAAATGTAAAGCAGTAATTCGACCTTCCTAACCAGACATGGCCTTTGTAGATAAACTGGTATAGCACGTCAGGTTATATGACGGTTCCCTTTGGGATACAGGTTCGATTCCTGCCAGAAGATGCATATTTACTGTGAAATTTCTCAGACATTCAGACTGGTAAATGTTGTTAATATTGTTTATTATAAGCAGAAATATAAATAAATATTTGTGTATTTATAAATAATGTATAACAATAAAATCTCTTAAAATAATTGTCGGACTTTTTGTCCATTTCATAATATTTTATTCTTTGCTTATCCTTAGTATCTTGTCCTTTCATTATTTTCTTATTCGTGTTTTTCAATGTTGACTATTTTACATGAGTTGTGGGTTGAATATGTCTCAAGAGACACAACACATCAAGTAGAAGGAGTATATTGATTGTTCGGTCAATCAGAGGCAAATATCTCCAGTATGGGAATTTCAACTTTATCATTTATAAAGTGTGAGTTTTTTTTTTTTATTATCTAATCAACAATTAGTATTTGACATAAATATCTTTTTCTTTTTTTTCTTTTCTAGCTCGAAAAGAATTCATGTTGGACAGTTGCACTGTTGAAGCAGACCCCCCACTTAACCTTCGTGAAGAAGTCCTCTTGACCCCACATGATCTTATCAGACAATTGCAACTTGAAAGCAGCCTCACTAATGAGGAACTTCAAATCAAAAGTATGTATAAAGTTGCTTTTCATCTTTCTTGTGTACATCTATTTTTTACTTACAAAAAAATAATATGTGGGTGGTGGATTGCTATTGTTATGTTGGCCAAGTATAGGCTTAGTAGTCAAACTGTCTCTTAATAGTTGTGACATTTAATGAATGAAAATGTCACAACCATTATGGGACAGGTTGGAAATTAATATCAAAAATAAAAAAAAAAAAAAAAAATGCGACGTCTACATCTGTCCCCTAATAGTTGTGACATTTAGTGTATAAAATGTATATACAAATGTAGCGGTCATTATGGGACAGGTTTGAAATTAATATCAAAAGAATAAATAGATAAACAAAGAACAAATAGGAAACGTTTATCAATCTAACATGTTTCACTTTTATTAAAGCTTCATCAGAGAATAAAATATGGAGAGAATACTGTTGTCCTTTTCAAGTAGTTTCGATGTTCGGACAAGATGAGCTGGGATCAAATGGAGATCATATATGGATTGGAATCCGACAGAATTGATAAGATAAAGAACAAATAGGAAACGTTTATCAATCTAACATGTTTAACTTTTAGTAAAGCTTCATCAGCAAATAATCAGAATTTATTGGTGAAAATATTTTCATTCTCTTCTACAGATGTTGACAAGGTGCGGGACTACATCACCGTCATGCAAAGAGTACGTTACAGCCACAAAGATGGTAGGAAGTTAGGCAGTCGATCATTTGTGGTGGTTTGTTCGTCCCAGAATGGACGTTTCCAGAGCAAGCCACATCGAGTTAAGGTAAGTTATTGGAAGAGTTGTTCTAGATATGAGGCAGGCTTGTTCAGTTTAGTTTGCAAGTTTTCTACCTGGCTTTTTCTCGTATAGATGTACAGGTGATGTAATGGATAACAGCTTGAAATAAGAAATCAGTGAGCTGAGTGGGAATTCCTGTCGCGTCGGTTACATTCACTTACACACAAATACTCTTAGGAATAGTATGAATCTCTCTCCTTCCTCTCCAGCTATGGGTTAATTAGTATGATGTCTATCTGGGAAAATCAATGTTATTCTAAAAAAAAAAAAAAAAAAATGTTTATGCAATAATCACTCAGAAAAGCAAGGAATTATCTATAGTGATTTTCCAAGTGTAGCTTAGATGTGGCACAAGGCCGAAAGTTGGGGGCACCCAGTGAGTATCGAACTCACTACTCAGTCTTAACTGTTCTAGCGAGACAAACTTGCTAACCATTACACCGCCTCGAGGTGCCCAGGAATTACTTGTATATAAAATTCTGTAACTTTCGTTAGTTCATCTGTCTTTTAAAGCCTCTAAACTAGCCATACATTGACTGATCAAAACCAAATTTTGGGAGGAGTACAAACAGGTAAGGAGGTACAAAGTGCAATTGGTTTTACTAGGGTGTGTAGCTTAGTACAATAAATTATTATTAATTTTTTAGAAAAATTAAAAGTTTTATTATTTAACATACCAAATACTCCCACTATTTTAAAAACAATTTAATGATTAAAATAACAAATACTTATATAATAAAATTGCAATATTGTTTTTTGTAAGTTTTTATATGTTCAAGAATCCAGTTTTCAGTTCACGCTGTATTTGTTTTATGATTCCTTGCGAATCCTCGTTGTTACTTTTATGATGTTGGACTGCTTCGCTTATCACTTTTGCTATGTTAAGCAAAAGCTCGTTATAGCTTCCAAAAATGCTTGTTATATTTGAGACTTTGTAGATGCTGGTACTAGTAGTAATGCCTTTCAATAATATCTGTACTTGTAATACTTGTTCAAGTAGTAATCACCAAATAGTATAATGATCAGAAGAGAAACATAATCCCTAAAGTAGAGAGTGAATGTATAACAATAGTGGATAGAGAAGAAGAGTGAACAGTGATCGTATAGTCATCACACTACTTCCTATTTATTCACTTCCTTTATGATCACATGATCTACTTTATAATGGAATTGCCCGCATTACTCACGATCTAGTTTCAAACCACAGTGCTGGTAATGACACTTATTCTTATACAACAATTTGCAAGAACTAAAAACAAATCACAAGACCAAACACTTCAAAAAGTTGGAATTTGGCTTCAGAAATAAATATTTATGCATAGCCAGTTTGATGTTGCATGCTCACGAGTAAGAAATCCTAAGAATTTATTCTTTGCTGTTAAAAAGGAAAAAAAGAAATTTTCTTAAAAAATGTTGTTTACCATGAAGTCCTATAAAATTAAAGAAATTATTAAACCGTGAAGTAGGATTTTTGTCAAAGTATTTTTCCAAACAAATCAACTTGCTCAAACTTCATTGATTGGTTTGCAAAATTAAACAAAACGTAAAGTTTGTAAATCTAGACAAAAAATGTTAGCAATAACTTGAACAATATTAAACACTGTGAAGATTTCAGCACATGTCAGTGTGTTACCAAAAAAATACTTGTTCTTAAAATCCTAAACAGGCTTCGGCTTTAAATAACACATAAATGATTGATAAACTATTAAAAAAACAAATCAACTTGTCAGTCAACTATATAAAATGATCCAATGATTTTGAATATCTTGATAATTGATTGTGCAATGTTTTGGCTGTTATATGCTCTGGCCTTCTTCATCTGACAGTCTTAGTCTATGGTTAGCTGTTCTGATTAACATGTATATCTTGGTGATTATGCTTTGACATTTTTATTACTTCAAATAGTAACAACTAAAAATAACATTTGAAGTAATAATAATATGAATAGTATAGTCTTTAGATATGTATATCTATGAAATAAACTCCAGAGATAAAGGTCTGTAAAAAGAAAAAATGAAAATAATTTTGATAAATCATATATAATAATATGAATAATATAGTGGAAACATAGTCTTTTGATATATACATGAAATAAGCTTTGGAATAAACAAAAAATACTTTTGGAGCACTCTGATAATAATAATAATAATAATAATAATAACAACTAGTTTTAACCCATTTCACAGTTTTATGATTTTAATTTTCTGATGAATCTTAATTCTTAAGTTAATGATTGAATAAACTCATGGCGAGTTCTATGACAATAAAATAACCATAGAAATTCCTCTATCACATCGTTAAATGTTTGAGCTTAACAACTTTAACAAAATATTGCAATAACAATCATAAATATGAATGCTGGTTGTTATTTATAAGAAGTAAGGGGGTACAAATAAAAAGATTTAAAATTGACGACTTATTTTTCCATTTCAATGAAACAGCTACTTCTCTCTTCCTTTCTTTCTTTCATTTTCTCACTGAAACTAAGTAGAGTCTTTTCCCTTTTTTTTCCATGTGATCAAGACGGAATGGTTCATTATTTACAGGCTGCTGGCAAGGCGTACTGGTCGTGCAAACTAGCGCAGAAATAGCACAGTTGTAATAGGATTAGAATATTTAGACTGAAAAATGTTCAATATCAGACTTTAGTTTAATACCATTTTTCTTTTTCTTTTTTTTTTTCTTGAAAATTCAGGTAATGGCAATTCACGATGAAGAACCTGAGGCTAACAGACATGCTCACGCTCAACAGTTGCTGAAGCAACCATACGAAGACAATGGACCACATCTACTGGACACTTTAAGGCCAAATAAACAAAAAATGCATACAGTCATTGCTGGACCAAGTAAGTCAACCTTTTTGTATTTTCTTTTAAAATCTTCTTTGTGTAAATCTGTTTTTACTGACTATGCCAAGAACTGCTTGCATGCAGATAGAAAATAAATATACAAAAACAGAAAGGGGACTGAGACAAGGATGCATCTTCTCCCCAGATTTATTCAACCTCTACAGTGATGCTATCCTGATGAAACTGGAGACCCTACCAGGATTTACTATCAGTAGGTATATTCTTAACAATATTGGATATACAGATGACACTGCGTTGATGGCCAACTTGGAAAGAAAAATACAGGACCTCCTAGAAAAGGTGGTAGAAGAAAGTGAGAAAAAAGGACTAACCTCAAAAGGCAAATCATTAGATTTGTAAAATTAAATGGTATATGAAGGCTTCCAATACTGAATTTTTCAATTTTTTTTTTTTTTTTTGATGCAGATGAAGTCGTATACACTGTGTTAAATATTAGTGCAGTACTAGATTAGTAGCAAGATCTCATCACTTTACAGTCAAGATGTCTAGATGTAACCGTCATTTCTCTAACAGTTTCTTCTATCGCACCTTTCACTTGAGGAACTCACTTCCAATGTTTTGTTTTCCACTCAACTTTGATCTTCAAAAATTTAAATACAATGTCAATTGTTAGCTTCTATTTCCTTAATTCTTGTTCTTTTATTGTTCTCTCTTCTTAATAATATTTTTTCTCATATTCCCTAACACTCAGTAACTCCTTGCATCTTAGTGGCTTTATTGCCTTGCTTGGAATGAAATGATTAAAAAACAAAAATAATAGAAATCAATAAATAGTAAAAATAAATAATAGATTTACACTATTTATATTAGTCGGACTGTAGTCCTAATCTTTATTTGTCATTCATATTCACAACATTTCAGCTGTTGTACGAACCAGCCTTTTTCAGGTGAAATAAGTTGAATTTCAAACTGAACAGTCTGAATAAGGTAAATAGCGTTAAATAGTTAAAATACCTCATCTTGGAAATATAGACAGATCTTGAAGAAGGCCAGAGTATACAATGACTGAAACATCATGAATGTGACAATAAAGATGAGAACAACAGTTCAAACAATGTAAGTAGTGTAAATAATTACAATACCTCATCTCAGAAATATAGACAGATAAATAATATATATAATAAATAATACAAAATAATTATCAAATATATATATATATATATATATATATATATATATGAAAATGTATGAAAAGTGTATATAAATATACATATATATATATATATATATATATATATATATATATATATATAATTATATATATATTATGCGCGGTACTTATTAGAAAGCGCTCAATATCAGAGATAGAGCTAACATATTTGGTTGGATAGATGTGAGT